AGATGGCATGGGGCTTTGCTCGTGATTATCAAAGTTATGTGCCCGAGCCTCAGGATGACCTAGAATTTAGCTGGGGACAGCCAGGCTTAGGGAAGGTCTGAATTCCTACACTGAGTAAACGGCAGATCTGGGGTTCAGTGCAGGTGTTTTGAGCCTGGAGCCTTCTGCCTGTCTTCCAGAGCTCTTGAGACCATACCATGTTGGGGTGGAAGGAGAATGGTAAACCTCTGTGCAGAAGAGGTTACAGTGCAGTCACAGATTTAGAGGCCATTGATACTTGAGTAGACAGACAAGAAAGAAAAGTTTTGGGAGGCATCTGCCTCACTGTGGGGATGACAGTAATTTTTCTAGCAGGACAGCGTGTTACACCAGGAGCTGAGACCCTCTAGACAAGTATTTTGCTGGATTCTAGCAATGAACATGCTCAGCCAATGGTTTGTGCCTTGCACAGTCTGCAGTTCTCTGTCTTCAGAAAGGCCCGCATGCTGCATGATTAGGAACTGAGAGTTGTTTTGTATTGTTGAGCTTTTTTTCTGATAGGGGAATTAGAGAAGCTAATTTATCTTTCCCTAAAGTGAAATACAACATCATGGGTCTTACAGGCGGTCATTTGTTTCAATGCCTTGCTGACTTTTTATGCAGAGGACCTGTTCCATTATTCCGAATTATTCTTTACCTCTTACCTACAGACTAATAAAAATAGCTAGCAGTGAACGCTGAAAACATGTCAGCTGCTGTTGCAGACACTTTGCATGCATGGTCTCATCCTTTTCCTATGAAGTAGATTTGCAGTGGACAGCTATGGACAGAGGTCTACAGAGACTGAGAAATGGTGCTAAGATAACAGGAATAGCTTATGTGTAGAGAGCTGGGCTGGAGTCTTAGGCTGACTAGTAAGCCTGTTTTGTAGAACTGTTGGCACGGAGCCCCGGGTGTCCTTGTAGTACTGAAAGTTGCACAGTTATGAAAGAGTTCTATAGCAGGTCGGTACCTGCTCTTTTTTTCTCATAGTGACCCTGGTCATTGTGTGTGAGGGATACTGGGAGTGCAGCTGGTAGAAACCTGCAGGCACAAATGGCCCACAATCAGATAAAGAAGGGCCTCCCACCCTGCTTCTAAACAACAGGAAGTCTTCCTGAAGATTGTTGCCAGGCCCACTTCCCACCTCTCCCCTCCAGCTCCAGAAGCCTGTTTTTTGACTGTGCTGGCCTGGGTTTTTTCTTTCAGGACACAACTGATAATTGCTTCAGGGTCTCTGGTCCTCTGTACTTACCCCCTGCCATTAAAGGCAGACCAGGGGAGACCCAGAAGTTTCCAGCTAGCCAGACCTGGAAGCTATTTGTCTGCTCAAATCTTGTGTAAAACGGGAACCACTGCCGATTTCCCTGGGGAAGAATCTGCCCTAAGGATCCTTAGGTTGTTTTTTTTTTTTTTTTTTTTTTTAAATTGGGACCTTTGGCAGACTGCCCAGTTGAAGATCATTAACTGTGGTGGGTGTACTGGCCTCTGTTTTCCCGAAAAATGTAAACCATGGCAAAAGGTTACTTGTTCAATTATCTTGTCTACTTAATAAGCATATGGGTAAGAAAGAAGACGCTTAACCTTTCTTCTGACTGAACAAAAGTGTTATATGGCTAAGATAGAAAATGAGAAATTCTTCAGTAGGGAAAAACTGAATAGGATTATCCATAAAGGGGAAAAAACAATTCTCCATTGCCACATAGATGATAAGAACAGTCAACGTTTATGCCTCTGCCGTGGGATTACTGTTGATGTAAAGGTCCTCTTCAGAATTTGGTCGACCTGGTATGACTCTGTGCCTCCTGATTTGTTAATTATCTGTGATGAACATGTGAACTTTAACTGTTGCTCAACTTCCCCAACAACAAAATAGGGTTGTTGCCTCAAGTTTTCTGTCCTGCCTGCTCCTACAGCCATTAAGTCCCAAAGAATCACACAGAGGTCTACATTAATTATAAACCGATTGGCCCATTAGCTCATACTTCTTATTAACTAATTCTTATAACTTATCTTAGCCCATAATTCTTGTCTGTGTTAGCCATGTGGCTTGGTACCTTTTTCAGCAAGGCATTCTCATCTTGCTTGCTCTGTGACTGCAGACTGTTTTCCTCTTCCCCGAATTCTCATTGCTCCGCCTCTGCTTCCTGCCTGGCTACTGGCCAGTCAGCATTTATTTAAAATAAAAGTGACAGGGTACAGACCATTGTCCCACAGCATAGGGTTGCAGTGGTGGTTTCTGCCTCATGCCACACATGTCTTGAGGGTTCTGAAAGAGTTTTTGTTACGTTCTCAACAGTGGTGGATGTGATAGTCCTTGACAGACGTTAGCTGTTTGGCTTAGCAGTGACTGAGGAAGTCTAGTCTACACTACTCAGTGTCCCATTTTGTTGAATCTTGGAAGTCAAGCAGGGTAGGGTCTGGTTAGAACCTGGATGGGCCAAATAGCACTAACATAGACTCTTAGTGTCCTGTTGCAGTACAGGAACCTATTGCGATTGTCAGGTTGCAGACCTTACTAGTTTTGCCATGCTTTGCCATTATAGAACACTGGGTTATAGTTGCTGCTTTTCAGTAAGGGAACCTTTCAGTAGCATACCCAGAAGATGATGCAGATTTGAAGGACAGCATCACATGGCTGTCTTCTGGCTTGGTCTTCACTGGAGTCAAATGCCCCTTAGAAGGACAAGCCTGGGAGGAGAGCGTTAGTCACTCTGCATAAATATGACCCTGGTTGTCTTGCCTAAGCACATTCCTGCCCTCCTGCGTCCATCAACTCCCCACTGGTCCTCCGGAAGGCCAGAATGTACATAAATTTGGTCTGACTCAAACAGAAATGTTTTCTAAGAATTAGTTCCACAACTGGGATACAGCTATGTAACAGAGCACTCGCCTAGCCTATCAAAACCCTGGATTCAATCCTTAGTGCCAAGGAAGCAAAGCAATCATCTTGTGCTTTTATTATATACAGTCTCCCGTTTCACTTAAAATAGATCACAGTTTTGGATGGAGGGTATGGCTCAGAGGTGGAGCACGTGCCCAGCATACATACAGTTCTGTATAATCATGAGCTAGGTGTGGTGTGCCTGCTTTAATTTCAACACTCAAGAGGCTGAGCCAAGGCAGTAGACTCTTGGGTTCAAGGCCAACATACAATGGCATCTCAAAACTCTTGCATTTTCACAAGAAAGGAGATATTGGTCCCAGAAGTATACTAACTTTCTGGCTCCTGATGACAAAGCCTTTAAATTGTAGGTCATAAAAAGTGATAGTGATTTTTGGGGCTGTGTGGTTTCCATTGGTGTCTCCTTTGTGTGTGTTGTTCAAAACATTGACTTGGCTCTAGCTACAACATCGCTAGGAAGAAATAGCAACATGATTGACTCGGTTCTAGAGCAGTAACTGGCGTATTGTTCCTCTGCATGCTCTTCGACGGTCCTTCCTCCAGCTCTAGAGATGAGGGCTGTTCTGTCTGAGAGCTGATTATGTTCTCGGTTGCTGACTCTTCTATAAATAAGCATACGTCTGCCTCTCCTGAAGTGTCTGGGTCGTTGGAGCGGTGGGCAGCTTTCCCTGCAGCTTCTCAGAGGCAGGGGAGGTGCTTCTCTCAACAGCTTGCTTGCCGCATCTGGCATTCCTGCTGAGGAAGGAGAATGCTTCCAGAAGTTTGCAGAGGAAAACTTGGCACCCGGAGAGGTTAGAAGGAAGAGAGGGCCTTTTACCCCTGCACGTCATTACAGCTCTCATGGCCCTGTGGAGTAAATGATTTATTTGAGTCAGTAGAGGGGGAAAGGTGTTCAGAGAGGAGTCTTGGCTTGGAGGAAAACCCTGACACTTCATGCATCTACACACCAGATGCTGAGGAAGCATTGGGAAACTCTGCGGTCCACACCAGCGCCGTTGCTTCCCACATGACTGAGTTTGTTTGCTGAATGTCAGTTTAACGTCATGCAATTGGCTCCCATTCCTCAGTGTTCATGGCCCCGGTGAAAACTGTTGTTAGGAATCACTTCAATATTTTTGTTTGTTTGTGTGTGTATTTAATAGTTTCTGGGTGTTGTAGACATTTCCTAGAATTGAGGAGTATAACACTTCAATATTTTTGTTTGTTTGTGTGTGTATTTAATAGTTTCTGGGTGTTGTAGACATTTCCTAGAATTGAGGAGTATAACACTTCAATATTTTTGTTTGTTTGTGTGTGTATTTAATAGTTTCTGGGTGTTGTAGACATTTCCTAGAATTGAGGAGTATATATATATATATATTTAAACTACTTCTAACTAGCCATGTAATCTAGCCAGGGACATTTACTATTAATTAGCGCCCAGATGGAAAAGAGTTTGGGCCTGGCTCTGGGCAAGGGTCTTGCTCCACCCGGGAGTATTTCCTGATAAAGAAGGAAAGACATGTAGCAGCATTTGTGTGGTACTGCACTGTTGTTGGCCTTTGAAAAGACCTCTAAGGCCCTGTGAAACTTGTTCCCAAGTTTCCTTTGATTAATGTCATTTTGTTGCTTTGATCCCTTAACCCAGGCCCCACGGCTTTGCCAGTCCTAAGTTTTGTACCAGGTGTTTCCTTCTGACTTCATGTTCCATGAGGTACCCTGGATATGTTAATATGTCGTACGTCAGAGTTTCCAGATCCTTAGTAGCTGGAGTTCCTGGCTGGGTTCCCTGCTGTCTGGGCAGTCAGTTTTGCTGAGGGGTCCTCCAAGTGCTGAGCCTGACTCGGATGTGGCTTTGTTTGAATCAGATGGCACTGTGATTGGAATATCCAGAATTTAACACACAGGACAGAATGTAGTTGCGTATGTCCTCATTTGGCTTATGGAATCGCCTGCTTGTCAAATGCCTATTTAAATTTGAATTTTAAGTAATGCACTTGGGGGAAAAGGAGCTAAGCCAAATCTCTGTGACATTTTTTTTTTCCCTCCTTCATCATTTCTCTTTTGCTAACAATGTTGCATGTTTTACTTTGTCTAGGATTTTCAACAAAGACATGTCTGACAAAATGTCTAGTTTCCTACATATTGGAGACATTTGTTCTCTGTATGCGGAGGGATCTACGAATGGATTTATCAGCACCTTGGGGTAAGAGTGGGGAAGTCCTTATCGGGGGTTGTTTAAGATATCATAACATCTGCTTTTTGTAAGCTAAGAATGCTGTCCTCATTACTCGGCTTTCCCAAGGCCATCATGAAATTAGCGGATCCCGTATTAGTCACGTCACCTTTATACAGAAACGTTTCTGTCAGTCTCAAAAGAACAACACCTTTGTAGTTAAGGCTCTATTAATTTTGAATTTGTTATAGTCTTCTCTTATATGAGAGGAAGAAGATTTAAGAAAGGGAGTGCAGTTTAAAGATTCATGTAGACAGACCCAAAGAAGTGCTTTTTGGCTCTGTGGGAAAGCTTCTTGGCTGTCTTTTCTTCCAGTGGCTCGTGTGTAGTCTGAGCGAAGACCATTACTGGTTGCCTGCTTATCTGTCTTCTTTGAAACAGAACCTTTCCTACTTTAAATAACCAAATGCATTTGAAAGTTTCAAACTGTACCGCATTCTGAAATCACTTTTGTTCACTTGTGCTCCCTTCGGTCGTCACTCAGCTGTGAAGGATATGAATATATTCCATCGCGTGCCTCTAGCCATTTTCTTCCTTTCCCCTGTTGTCTCCGGGAGGAAGTGTAGAGTAGAGTAGCCCCCAAAGGCAGACAGAGACAGAATGGAGAATCAAGATGGCTCATTCCAGAATAGTCAGGAATGCTCTGCCGTCTTTGTGTAGGAAGGAGTAGCTAGGCCTGGGTGGCATTGTTGATTTTGGCAAGACCTAGTCTCAAATAAATGGGGGCAGAAGGCAGGCTAGCAGATTTTCCAAAAGCCCGTTCCTACAACAGCCAGATTGTCCGTTGTAATTACAGCTATTACTGGAAGCGTACTTATTTTCTGGTATTTGTGCAAAGTAAGTATTGTTAAGCGCTCATTCAGGTTATTCCATCCCCCATGAGGAAATAATTTCAGATAGCAGAATTATACCTCAGTTAGACCTGTGCTCTCACTCTATAGAGAGTTTATTTTCAGAACTCACCCACGGCTTCTTTCTATGCTTGGTCTCTCTGCATAGTAGACCTACCCTTAGCAGTTGATCTTCCGTGGCTTTGGGCAACAGGCTTCCTGTTACTTGGGCCTCTCCGATGATGGCCATCTTTCTTTATCACCTGTGGTTAAAATTTTCACCTCTTCTTATTTTTCAGCATTGACTACAATACGGTACAGCAGTGGTAAGCACTCCCTGAGCCTGGTGGGTGTTCACTGTGTACCAGGGGCTGTTCTAAGTCCTGTGCCTCCATTATCCCCTTAGCTCCCGAGCACCCTCATCATGGTGAGCACCGCCATCCTCACTGTGTATGGAGACGACACTTGTGTGCTTCAGGCAGGGCAGTCACCTGCCCAAGTTTCAGAGCTCAGAAGACTTAGGTCTCCAAGGCCAGGAGTCCTAACACACAACCTTTCTTCTGGCTTCCTTGTCTGCTTACAGCCTATCTGGGTGCCTGTCAGCCTCTGCCCCATCTTATACCTATGTTTCCTCTGTGGCCTCTGACCTCACAGATGCTGAGTCCCTAAAATCTTAGCTTCCTTTCCTATTTTCCCTTTCAGGAGGATATCCATTATTTTATATTATTGTTATTAATTATTATTATTAATGTTTGTTTTTTGAGACAGAGTTTCTCTGTGTAGCCCTGGCTATCCTGAAACTCACTGTGTGGACCAGGCTGGCCTCTAACTCAGAAGAGATCTGCCTGCCTCTGCCTGCCAAGTGCTGGGATTAAAGGCATCTGTCACCACAGCCCGGCATTATATTATTATTTTGAGCCTAATCTGGCCTTGAACTTGCAGTCCTTTTGCCTCAGTTTCTAAGTGCACAATTGTAGGTGGGCACCATTCTTAAAATTCTTAAGTGTTCTCAAGTGTTCTGTGTTGAGTCCCTCATAAAGTTCAGGTGCGTGTTTTTTAAACTTTGGATACTGGTTCTTCCTTTAGATGAGGATAATTTGCCTTTACACTCCCACATACTTGAGAGTAGCTTACATAAACATTAACCTGGAAAGTTAAATTTGACCTCCCTCCCCCTTCTTGGGCTGTGTTTAACATTTATGAAGTACAAGTCATAGACACAAATGAGTGACTGTCAGTCTCTTCATGGGACTTGGTCTCATGACCCCCAGACAAGTGTCTGTCCTGTTTTTATAGACTGTTGGTGGGTACCTCTCAGTGGCTTTCCGACTCACTGAACTTTAGCATTCCAGCAGGACCGGGGAGAACCAGTGCGTATGGGAATCTACACTGGTGTGCATGTTAAATCACTTTTGGAGCTTCTTAAGAACAAAGGCTCTTAGATCCCTTCTAGGAACAGAGTTTCAGTGTGCCTGAGTAGGAGGGTTGGGCTGTGACAGGACTCTGGAATTGATACATTTAGAAGCAGAAAGTATCTGAACATTGCCTGAGTGGAGACTCTTGAAAGCAATTCTTTGGTTTTTACAGATGAAGTTCTCAGACAAGGGGCCAGTGAAATCACATAATAACACGCCCTTTGCTGGTGCCATAATGCTATGCTCAATGAGCCCCTTCCTCCTATCACTACCTCTTGCTGGAATTTGATCATTAGTGCAGCTTTGCATTGTGTATGGACCAAATCCAGTGTCTTATACATAATAAGTAAAACTCTCCCACTGGACTATATCACCAGCACTTACTTTGGATTCGGAGTCTACCCTTTTAAGTATTGAATTAGCTTTGGTGACCTCACTGAACTTGTATTGTCCATATAAGGGCACAGGGTAGAGATTTTATATGTGTACATTGTACTCTTGATTTTTGTAGAAAATCCCCAGGGCACTGACCACGCTGTGCCTCTTGTTGATGCCCAGTGAGGGCTTGTGTATTGAGGGCAAAGGTGGGATACTCTTCACACTTTGATTCAGTTCATTGGGCAGATAATGAACTTCAGCCTTGGGCATCTTATGAGCCACAAAGCAGGGAACTTACTCCATTGCTTCCATACAGCTTGGTTGGGAGAATGGAGGAGAGAGTTTATAAGCAAGAAAGGCTTCTGTGGGGATATATAGTTTAGTTTAGGAAATGACACTCAGAATTAGGGCCTTGAAAACAGGGCAGACTTCAGGAGGTAAAGGTCAGTTTTGGAGGAAAGAATAGGAAAGGTCAAAGTTGAATATTTAATGGTCCCTTGCATTTGGAATAAGAGGCAGCATAGGTTAATGGAAAAGGTTCTAAAAAATCCTAGCATGGTACGTGGGATCAAGTTCCATGGTCATGTGGAAAATGAGCTGGCTCTCCTAGTTTTAGAAACTTGGGTAGGTCATGTAACTTCATAGTATCTTAGTGTCTCAGAAGTTCAAAAATATGTTTATATTTCTTGTGATTCTCCTAAAAAGAATTATGCAAGTTAAATTAAGTTTTAATGAAGTCAGAATTTGATTTATCAGTCCTAATGTAATCTGGGACTATTACTTATTTGTAACATCATTGTGCATTTGAAGCCCCAAGCCCTTCCCATTTCTGTGCTTTTGTACTGGGTTCCCATTACCAGAAGCTGCTCCAGTCCTCATGCTTCAACCTCTACTTCAGCTTTTGAACAGTTCTGAAACATCTTCCTCTGCCTGCAGCTTCAGAAGGCATCTGCCTCAGATGGCCCCTGACTGTTCTCTTTTCTTCCTTCTTGCCTTACACCTTACTTGTTAGCTTCTTTTTATGGCTTCTACACCCAAGCCTTGAGCTTTCAGTGCTGGGGCTTGGTTCACTCTAGTCTACATCTTAGGACTTGGTATAGTTCCTGGTGCAGGGTTGGCTCTTCACCTACCATTCATCAAATGCATTGACCCTTGGCTGAGCTTTTCAGACCTCAGCAACATTGCATGTTGGTATGCAAATCTGTCACAGATGTGGTTCTGGGAAAAAGGAGCTACAGAAAACAGTAACACGTCCATCACAAAAGCAGATGTCTGGGCCATGGGTTTAGGTTTATTTCACTCCGTACATAGAATATTTCACTCCTTGGCCAACACTCCCTGGCAGAGGAACACGACATTCTAAATGTTACATAGGAAAAGCCCTGGGATATTCTGCTTTTACATAATGCTTATTGATGTTTGTATTTCCGCAGGCTTGGTGTGATACAACATTTATTTATTTTTCTTTTTGCAGCCTGGTTGATGATCGCTGTGTTGTGCAGCCAGAAGCTGGGGACCTTAACAATCCACCCAAGAAATTCAGAGGTAAAGTAGTGGCTTTGATGGAGTGATCACCTGGGCTTCCTTGATAACTTATGAAGGGTGTTCCTCTGACTGTGAGGGCAGCTGGCCCTCCCTCCCTCCCTCCCTCCCTCCATCCCTCCCTCCCTTCCTCCTTCCACTCCTTTCTTCCTTCCTGTAGCAACCTGAGGTTTATTTACTTAAGTATATTTTTCAAAATCAGATTCAAGTCCTGGCATTAAAACTTCCTGAAAAAAATGTGTAAATAAATTCTTAGTCAAGATTGGCATGGGACTTAGTTTGTCTACAGAATATGTGCTGCCAAGTGCTAATTCATCTGAAAGCTTTTCGTTAGCAAGGCTATTTCTCCAAACAGATGAGATTTAAGGATCCAGTCACAGGGAGCATGGGCTATTTCAGCAGATCTCATGATCCCTCATAGGGCCTTGGTAATTCTTAGCTGCCTTACCTGGAATGAGATATTCTTGATTATTGTGTTGAGGTTAAGCTAAAAGGTACAGCAGGGCAACTTGCCTATTAATGTCGCCTTTTGTAGTCCTGTGTTTTTAATTTTGCTCAAAAGGTAGTTGATATCTCAGATACCATCTCTTTGTTTCTGACTTCTGTTGTGTTGGTTTTCAGTTTGAACCACATCTTAGAATTATCTAAAGAGTACTTTCAATTCCATAGATGCTCTGGACCAATTAAATTAACCCTTAAGATTGGGCACTGCTTTTTGTTTGTTCATTGGTTGGTTGTTTTTAAAAAAAATCTCACTATGTAGTTCTGGCTATTCTGGAACTCACTGTGTAGACCAGGCTGACCTCGAATTTACAAAGATCCTCCTTTTCCTTTGTCTCCAGTGCTGGGATTAAAGGTGTGTGCCACTGCACACAGCTCTGCACTAGCATCTTTTTATTTTAAAGCTTCCAAAGTGGGTTTAAGAATTAGATTTACTATTTTTATTTGTTTATGAATTTTGTGTATGTACATGTGTGTACCATGGGAGCGGTAAGAGGACATTTGCTGGAGTTGGTTTTCTCCTCTCAGCATGTGAGTTTGAGTGCATGGACTCCAATGGTCAGTGAGATCCATAAGGCATCCCCCCACCCCTTATAACAAGGAGAAATGGATGCATAGAGAAGTCCTATTGAGAGCGTGGCTCAGACCACTGCAGACCGATGTCTGTTGGATCTTGAGTCCAGTGCCTTAACTACTTGACCATCCTGGTGACATAGTGATTTTTCTGTGCAGTGGGGTTGGGAACCCACTGTCTTAGGGATTTGACTCACAGCCTCAGTCATCGAGGGTTCAGCAGTCACCAGTTGCAGATCTTATCATCTGACTTCTAAATTCTTTGTGTTGAGCGATTTAGAAACTGTTTGACTCCTTTAAATGAAAGCTAAAGAAATTAGGATGAAATAGAAGGCAGGCGTTCAGATGGAAAGGAGCCATTTGGATGCAGCATGGTGTTGAGCTGTATCCAGTTGGCACGGGGCTATCAGGAGAATGTTTTTACCTGAGGATGAGGGAAAACTATTTTTAAAAAAATGAGTCACAGAAACTTGAAGCAGCTATTGCTTCTGCTGTATTTTTTTTTTCCTCCACAGCCAGCTCCTCCTCCATGGGTCATTCTAAAGCAAAATCTTGAGTAGAGCAGAAATGAAGGATTTATTTAATGACCATAATGTCATTTAATGAGTGACATTGAGAATTAATTCCCAAGCCAACATCGACTGCGTTGGTCACTGTGCTGAGAGAGGATGCTGCCTGTGTTAGCTCAGTTGGAGAGTCATATCTCCTCTGCATTGGAAGGGATTGATTAGATTCAGACCCGAGTATCTCACCTGTGGCCACATAGCTTCAGGCAGATGGGAATAGGAGTTTGGATCTGCAGTTTGGCTGCATAAGGAAATCACCTGGAGAGCTATGAAAAATGCTAATAACTGCTCCCACCTGCCATGTTCCTCACTTAATTGGGCACTGGGGTTTTCTAAAGCTCCCTGGGTTATTCTCTTGTGCAACCACGGCTACAAATCACTGCTAATCAGTACAAACTACCAATTTCCTTGCTGAGGGAAGGGCTAATCCAGGCTTGGCTTTTGCCGTTGGGGCACAGAAAAGGGATGCTGGACAGAAGCAGGGGGCTGGGTCCTGGGTCCAGCAGGACCTCATGTTCCATTTCAGCATTGGGGGCCAAGACAAAGATGCATGAGAATTTAAGGCAATGAATGAAGTTAACCAATGCTTATTAATTATTTTTAAAAAGTATTGTCCAATACTCTTTTTCATTTTTAAGCGAACAAAATTGTACATATGTATGATTTGAAATTGGCAGGCATTGTGGAATGCCTGCATTGGGCTAATTAACATGGATTTCTTCATGTTGCTTTTGTGATCTGAATTCTATAAATTTACTCTGAGGTTTTCTAGTGTTTGCTTTGTTGTCACCATGTTGTACAATAAATCTTTTGTCTCTGCTCCTCCCATCTAAGTGAGATCTTATAGCCTTTGACCCTCTCCAACCTCCTGGCCCAATAACCTCTAGCCTTCAGCCTGCCTCTCTGAGTTTAAGTTTTTAAGATTTAACAAATAAGAGTATATATTTTTCTGTGCTTACCTAATTTCATGTCTCCCGGGTTTTTAGTTTTTATTTATTTTTTTTTAAATCAGGAATGATCAAGTGGCTGTTTGAATACAGGTTTAGGATGTTAAAGTAAATAGGGCCAGTACAGAGGAAGTTCAGAGCCATGTATGTTTCCCTGGCAGTAGGGTCAGGGTGGCTCTTGCTTGGATGCATCTCTGGTGGCTGATTTGAAGAGACTGTTTTGAAATCAGAGCAACAGTCTGGAAAAGGCCATTTGGAAACAACCAAGCTCCTTTTATATCCTGACTTAGTTGTACAGGTAGGAATGAGAAAGTGACTTGGTCTATTGATTTTTCTAGGTAGTTTCTAGGCTATGAGCTGCTTTGTGGTAGCGGGGAAATCTAGTTCGAAATAAGCTGAGCTGCAGACTTGGAGAATGTAGGTCCGAACTTCCTGACCTCTGTGTGCTGAGTCTGAGCTCCCCACATGCAGGTAAAAAGCCTGGCCAATCTGCTTGAAAGATCTCCACCTTGGGACTTGGGGAGGAAATAGTTTAAGTTTTTTTTTTTTTTTTTGAAAGCATTTCTTCAGCTGTGATGTCATCTACTTCAAGAACTTTCCCCCAGAAGTGAAGTAAAAGATCTCTCTTTCAGAAGAGATTGTTAAGTACATTTTGAAGTTGAAGGTCATTTTGGTGGTTTAGAAATTGTGCATGGAGCAGACGGGCAGTTCGCAGGAATTCCTGGTTCATTCTTCATGGATCCCTTTCTCCCTGCATTGAACAAACACATATGGAAAAAAGAGATGCTGGCAAGCAGCTCAATGGAATGATGGGCCTTTATTCGAGCAATCAGCAGAGCTTCGTTGAGTCATTTGGATTTGCTTTAGTTTGCATTGTTGGCTTGCCAACCGCTTTCCCGTATCGAGAACGATTCTACAGCGTTCTTTAGTAGATGGAAATTGGAGGGTGCCTGTTTATGTTCCACTCCCCGTGACGTCTGACTTTGGGGTTCTTATTTTGGGAGACATCAGGGTTCCTTCTGTGATTTGCAACCCTGATGTTTAAAAATATGGAAGCTTAAACCAGTGAGTTTTTCTGGGTTCAAATCGAAGTTCCACGTTTTTTTTTTTTTTTTTTTTTTTTTTTTTTAACCTGTATGACATGGCCACATTATTTAACCTCTGAACCTGGCTATCTTGAATGTAAGATAAATGTGTGTAAAGAATTTAGTACTTGAGGAAATTCTGTCAGTTATGACAAGGTAGGTGGACCTGGACGGCATTGTGGCGATGAAGCAAGACAGGGACAGATAGAAAAAGACTGTTTTCACTCATGGGGAATCCTGAAAGATTCCCAAGAACTGCAAATAAAACAGTGCTTACCAGGTCACAGAGACGGAAAGAAGTGAAGAAGAGAGGACTAGTCAGCGGCTATAAGGCTAGGAGAGATAGGAGCTGGTGTATCCTAGTACAGAGTACGTTATGTGTATGAGGGTGCACACATGGACTCTCCATGCCCAGACTCAAGGTCCATTGCTGTCCTGTTTAAGTTGAGTGTTCTTGAGAGACTGTATAATTTTCTGAGCTTCCCCAGAAAATTGTAGAATAGGGGCTTTCTGTCCTTACAAAGGTAGTAGAATTGAAGATAATTTGGACAAACAGAGTGATTAGGATGAGTTGTGCCTTAATAGCACCAGCTTTTCTTTTGTACAGTGGAAGCAGAAGGGTTAAGTATTGAGTGCCCTTGATTTTTCACTGATGCTTGTAAGTGCATTTCCAAAATGAATTTCTCTTTTCATGCATGTCATTTCCTTGACCTATAACTTTGTTGGGATAAACAAAGTTTTATATCTGAATGAATTTGAACTGTGTCATCTCCTTCTGTGTAATGACAAAAAATAGCTGAGATTTGGAGTCATTTCGGTACCTTGGTTCTTTGGACACTATGGTACCATTTGAATGTGCTAGAGTCTGTGCACAGGGGTGCAGAATCACTGTTTTCTCCGATAGATGTTAGCTTTGCCCACAATCTAGGAAGAATAAGGAAGAAAACATCAGATTGAAACCAGGAATAGAAACTTTGTGGTTAGTGAATTCCTTTCTCTGTATTATCTTTTGCTCTTCCCATCTCTCCACATCCCTTCCCCTTCAAGATACTAAATATAAAAAGCACTTTCTAGAAAGGAAAGATGGAAACTGATAGCTAGTCCCCATTTTCGTCTTGGGCCTCTGCTCGCTTCACATTCATAACCTCCAGGGTTGTTGGAGTAGAAAGAAGGGAATTCAGGCTTTGAGGGAATCAAACAGGCTTTAGAGTTACACCATCTATTGTGTAATCTCTTTCCCACACTGGGGCAATGGTCGAAATTTTATCCTTGAAACTTTCACTGTAAGAGAACAACCTTGGCCCCATATTCTTGACCTTGGACCAGTGACC